TAAGTCAATTACTGCTAAACCAAACATGATAATGATTTGCTTTTAGAAAAAAGTTATTAAGAGGTTATATATAAGTATATGACAAGGGGATTTTTTCAGATCTGATTATTACTTTTATGGAAAACTTTAATTCCTCGATGTTATGGAGAATATCAGAAGGCTCATACTTTATCACAAAAATTGCGTGTGATGGGGGGTGGGGATGGGGGCGGGGTTATTGATATTGACTACGGTCATTACAGCAAGTTCAAGGTGACTGGCAGAAAAAGTGTATTTGTTTCTAACTTTTATTTATCAAATAGAGACTAACTGGAAGTTGATTCTTGACAAACAATAAATTTGGCAATTACAAATCTTATTTTTTTTTTTATAAACCACAGTTGATGTAACTGAAAAAAAAAAATTGTTATAAATAGGGAAGACTACTTTGACTGAAACACTGGAGAATAAAATGGATGCATGTAGATATTTTACACCTCCTCCCCCAATACAGCATCTGAGGAAATGTTTTGATGACCTTCCAGAAATTGTCAGAAGGGCCTACTATTCCATTGGCAACTATATTGTTTCCATAGCAATACTGAAAACATGTCAGGAGAAACCTGTTATCATGGACAGGTTATGTCTAGTGTAGACATGAAATCAGAGAAAGTTTTGATGTGAAACAATTAAAAAACATCATACATCAAAAGAGCAGGAAAAACTCATTCAGATATCATGTCTCAGAAAATGTTTTTATATTTTATGCTGGTGATTGAAACAGAAAGGCAGATGTGTAGTGTTTGACGCAAATTTATAATTTTTTAAGCAAACTTTAATTATTGTTAATCCCAAAATTGTTCATTGCATAATTATTAATTCCTAAATAACAGTTTTCCCCTTCTGCTCTAGATTCTGGCACAGTACTGCAGCTTATGGTATAGCCAATGAAACAAGCAATGAAGACATCCCATTGGAGGGGCATTGGGTGTATAGTGGCCCAGTGACCTTTTAACCCCTGACATCGTCCTCTTTCTGACAGTCAGTGAGGAGATCAGAAAGCAGAGGATGCTGGGAAGAGGAGGGGAGAAAACTCAAGAAGAAAAACATTTAGATAAAGATAGACTGTTTAGAGAAAGGTAAAATCTTAAAACAGTCAGGGTTATCCAAGAGCTGTTTTAGTGTGTTGCTTCCGACACAGTAAAACTTTCTCAAACACAGTAACGATTCAAATTCTATGCATGCAACACAGTAAAATTTTCTCTGACACAGTAACAATTCAAATTTTATGTGTGCAACACAGTAAAAATTTTGCCTACACAGTAAGATCTGTGATATTTAGAAAATCCAAACAATATTAAATCCTCTCTAACTGGAGCTTTAATCAAACAATTCTTCCATCCTTCAATTCTAAAATGTAGAGCACTTATATGTAATTAGTAGGGCTTCACCTTGCATATTCAGTTATCTCCTAGACCCTCGCCAGACTTGACGCATGTCCATGTAACGGTTAATTGGTACATGTATTGGCATTAAAATAGATTGTATTTTGAAAAATATTTAAATATGTCTTTTCTATAGAGCCACGGATCTAGAATATTATGTTAGCACTGTAAGTCAAACATAAAATCGTACCGAAGTCATTGAATTGATGTAAATAATTGCTGAAAATTTTCAACATGTTCAAGGAACTCTTAACATGCTTAAAAGTATTTTACTATTCTGAAGTTTCCTATTTTGTAATTCGGTAATTCGATCTAGAAAACTGACAAATAATCAAAATTACTTTCAAAAATGTTACCGTATATACTCGCCTATAAGTCGGATTTTTAGGAGTTGATCTCTTGTCCAAAACTCTATGTCCGACTTATAGGCGAGCTATAAAACGAATGGTATATTATATGATGTCGGTCCCTTTGATATATAAGCTTATAAAACACAACCGACTTATAGGCGGACCGACTTATAGGCGAGTATATACGGTAAGTACGACTGTATCGATTAGAATTTCCTCTGCTTTTCAGTACATATATTTTTACTTTTATCAATATGTACGACCATTCCATTTGTGTAACGGATTAGAGATTTTTAAATAAGTGTAAGCATGTATTCTTTGTAATTATAATGAATAGTGATTCAGTTGCAAATTTGATTGCGAAAATACCACGAAATTTTAGTGCTTTGCAGAAACTCTGCAACACAGTAAATTTTTAAACGATGGAGAACCCTGATTACAGTTGAATGTACAACTGATTGAAATTTTACACATTCTTATATAAATCTAAGTTTAAATTCATGCTTTTGCTTAATATGAAAGTGAGGAATCATTTAACACAGTCAAATAAAGGAAGTTTTAAAAAAATTTAATGACACTTTATTCAAAAAGACTTGTACCCTTTGCAAAGGAAGTAAAAATAGTGATCAAGTCTAAATTCAATAATATTACGTATATTTTTTTTTGATACGCTTTAGTCTGTAATTGCTGAGACAAATATGGATGATAGTTTATTTTTATTGAGGATGAAATCGACATTTGTAGATTATACCTAGCCTACAAGAGAATGGAGAAGCCTAGCTGTATAAAATAGATGCCAGTGGCTCCATAGAGATAGTTCTGGAGGCAGCAGAGAAGGAGTTGACAAAACGGGGGTTTTCTAGACCAGACTGAAGCTAAATGATGCATGATGCATGTCTAAAGAAATCCACAAAATACATATACACACAGTATTATTTGTTAAAATCCATAATCTGGGTTCTCAGGAATTTTGGAAATTTCAGGCTGGCAGATAAAAAGTATTATTCCAATGTACTACCTGAAAAAATTGATTTTATAACAAATTGCATACAGTATTATTTGGTTAACCCATTATCTGGGTTCTCAGGAGTTTAGGCAATCTCAACTTTTAAAGTTCTGATATTAATCAGATATGTACTTCCTTAAAATATGGGTCTTTTTTTAAGATTCGGTATTGTCCAGGTACTTCCTGTTATGTATTCCAAAGGCTGTATTGGTCCCAACTGCTTCATAATTATTTGTATTTATTTTCTCTAGTCTGAACTCACAATAATTACCTTATTGTCACTTCAATGTAATTAACAACTTTTATGATACATATATATATATGTTTTGATATACATGGTGTATGTGTTTTTACATAAGTGTCACAAGATGAATGACCTGGTGGTGCCACATCCCTTTTAGAAAAAATATAAGGTTTAGTTAGAAGAAGGAAATAAAAATATTTTATGAATTTTAATACTTGACATTTAACTTGCTTTTAATAACTTTGTAACATACAGTTTCATGTAATATCAAGGACATTGTACAAATGTACTTTTTTTTACAAATCAAAATATAAATTAGGGTCAAAACTCAGTCTTTTTAATATTTGAAATGGCCCCTAGCATCAATGGGATGACTTGAATATTTACATAGAAATTTTAATGACAGTTAAAGTGTAATCATATTTTAATGATGTCTGTTTATTGTTAAGTTTGAATGCTTTTTTTGAACTGAAAACTCTTTTTTATATAAAGTATAGATTTTGAAATTCAAGTTGAAATGTGAACCCTTAAACTTTGTGAACAAAAAGAAAAACTGACAAAACATCATGAGTGTATTCTTGAACACTTTCTGGACTTAAAAATATGAAATGATTTTATCATTAATCATTATTTTGCCATCATATGCATTGTACTTGTAAAAAAAAACAATGGAAATAAAAATCAATATTTTCAGACAACTTAATTGGAATTGGTTTTATTTCGTTGGAAAAATTATCTGTATGAACCACACTTTGTGAATAGAAAAATAAATTTGGAAGTAATGTATAGTTTTAAGATTATTTTCAGTATGATATATAATCATTCAGAAATTAAGGTCAAATATGCATACTTTTAATTTGGTTCAAACATACATTTTAAAGTGTTCAAATTGAGCTATTTTTATTTTTATATGTATATGCATTTCTACCTTTATTAAAAAAAATGATGTGATTGTGAAACACTGATGCCCCGTATGGCAACACAGTGAATTTCAAGGTTAAACTTTCTCAAATGCAAATCAAATATCTTGGTACCCCAAAGTTGGGCCTTCTCACAAAAACTACAATTGTGAAAGAACTATATGCGGTATATTGCATATGTTTGCCCCCACAAAAGTCAAATTTGGAAAACTTCCTGAAATGTGCTTAATTCAATAAATTGTACGAGAAATATAAGTTAACAAAAAATATTATAGTTCCAGAGCAGTGTATTCACAATTTCTGTTTTTATGACGTCACAAACTAGTCCGATTTTATATCCTTTTTCAGAAAGAGGACAAAATGGACAAAATTTCAACAATTTAAGCTTTAGAATTTATAGAGCGCATGTGTGTTCAGGAACAATATTGACATATTTCATTGATATTATCATTCTACACATTATATTAAAATATTAATCCTGAACACACATGCGCTCGGTGACTTTCATTTAAAATATCGACGAAATATGTACATTTTTCTGCAAAATTCATAAAAAACTGAAATTTACGTCATATCTGTGACGTCATTACGTACATATGACGTCATTACTTATGAATTTATTCAGTGCTTTGAAGTCAGCATATACTCCCCTGTTTAAGGACTTAATTAAATATTACTCCATCAAAGTTTGATTTTGGGGGGCAAATGTTGGTTAATACCGCATATAGTTCTTTGGAAGCCCTAGCACCATCTGTTCAAAATTATGTCCAAGGTTAAAGTTTTTAAAAGTTCATCAAACTTCAAGGTCAAAGTGTTTAAGTGGTTGGTTTCTAATGAAAGGATTACAAATGTGAAGTATGAATGCACTACCCCTAGCCGTTCAAAAGTTATGGCCAGAGTAAACGTTTTTAAAAATAGGTCAATCTCCAAGGTCAAAAGATCAAAGTTGATATCCAATGGAAGGTCTCATTACAAGTATTAAAGTCCTAGCACAAACTGCATTTCCAAAGTTAAAGCCAAAGTAAAAGTACACGCTTTTTGTGTAAAAGCGTGTCAAACTCCAATGCCAAATTTGGTGGTCACCAAAGAAAGGTCTTGTCACAAGGAATACACCTGTGGAATATGATAGCTCCACTCAGTCAAAAGTTATGGGCAATGCTAAAGTTTTTGCAAACAAACAGACAGAGAGTTTTTGAAACAAATAGACTAACTGACAACAGTGCAAACACTATATCACAGGGGCATAAAAAGAATACAGTTTTTCCACTCATATATAGTTTTATTCTCTTGAAGTTTTCCATTTTAACATCTGCTTTTCAGCAGAGGCATTAATGTCACACGGCTTATTTTTTTTTCAGTGAATGTCTCTGGAAATATTTGCATTTGTATATACTAATTAAGGTCTTTCGTCTCCGACGGAGGACCTTCTTGTTATTCTTCGGTTTCTTTTTCCCTATTATTATTAAGGTCTTCCGTCTTCAGCGGAAGACCTTATTGTTAAGGTCTTCCGTCTTCAGCGGAAGACCTTCTTGTTATGTTTCTTTTCCACTGTTTTTAGGGTCTTCCGTCTCCAACGGAAGACCCTACTATTATTCTATTGTTTCTTTTTCACTTTTATTATTATTATTATTATTTTTTTCTTTACACATTTTTGTGCAGACGATTTCTCAGAGATGCTTGAGTGGATTGCCTTGAAATTTTCAGGAATGATGTATCATGAACTAAACCTGATACTTTTTTTATTTTCCGAAAAATCACTTCCGGGGGAAGTTATGCCCTTTTAAAC